GAAGAGCAACCAGGATGATGAGGGGACTAGAGGCTAAAACATACGACGAACAGTTGCAGGAACTGGGCCTGGCTAGTCCATGGAACAGAAGTTGCCTTCAGAAGTTGTGGGAGCTTCATCACTGGAAGCTTTCAAGAAACTCGACTGCCCTCTGTCAGAAATGGAGGAGGGTCTCCTGCTTGAACAGGGGGTTGGACTAGATGACCTACAAGGTCCCTTCCAACTCTGTTAATTTGTTCTCTGGAGGTCTCCTAGCCCAGCCCCCTGCTCAAGCAAGAGATCCAACACCATGTCAGGCGAGTGATTGTTCAGTCCCGTCTAAAAAAACCCCCTCCAGCGTTGAAGTCTTCGCTTGCGATTCACAAGCAAAATGTGTACAAGCGGGTTGTGGGTGTGTGCAAGCCACATCTGGACAGTTATATAAAGGCATATCCCTGGGAGCGCTTTTGCATGTGTGTTTCAAAGCAAACTGTTTAACAATACAAAATTGTATATTGACCCATTGTGCCGCACGGGAGGGAAAAATCAATCCCGGGATTAGATCACACTTCCCGATGTATGAAAGCAAATTTGGTGCAGTCTTCCGTAAAGTCGCCAAGGGTCTCAGGCCCCTCTACCCCTCTTTTCCCCCCGAGCCCTGATCGGCCAAGAGAACTTCAGTTCGGAAACATGGAAGACCCCCTTCCAAGGGGTGACCCCTGCCCCAAGATCAACAGCCTGGTCACTGACATTGTGGGACTTAAGTGGGTGGGAAACCTTATCCAGGAACTGTTTGCCAGATATATACACTGACTTATGGCCATTTTTCACACTTACAACCCTTGCGGCCTCTCCATGACCAAAATTCAGACACTGGGCAACTGGGTCATCTTTACGACAGTTGTGGTTGCTGTGACCTAGGCTTTCTGATACAATTAGGTTGCAAACCCCTCTTTTTATTTCAAAGGTTGTGAATTATATTCATTCGCAGCCCTGAATGAGTCACAAGTAGTTTGTAAAGAGTCCTACAGAAGGCTGCCAAAGTCTTTCTGGATAAGGCTGATAAACACCCACCTTTATCTCCCCTGAAACACTGCCAAAGACTTAAATTAGCAATTAACGTATTTTTCAGAGTATAAGACACACCTTCTTCCCTCAAGAGGCTGAAAATCTGGGTGCTTCTTATACACTGAATCCTGAAACTCCGCCCCTTCACCAAAATGGCCATGCTTAGCTTTTAGAAGGCTTTCAGAGTGTTCTTGGGGGCTGCAGAGGGCAGAATTGAGGGGAAAACGGCCTGTTTTCCCCCAACCCCCACAGCAGCATTTTATAAGCTTCCTAAAGGCTATCCATTCCTTCTTTGACAAAAAACAGGCCATTTTTTAACCACCACCCCACTCCCCAGGAGCACTCTACAAGCCTCCTAAGGGCTATTCATGCCCTTTTTTGGGAAGGGGGGTGTAACAGACCCTTTTTCGCAAAAAAATGGGCTGTTTTGGAGAGATTTATAGAGTACAAAAACTTTTTTTTAAAAAATTTTCCTCTTCAAAACCTTGCTGCGTCTTCTACTCCGGTGCGTCTTATACTCCGAACAATACGGTAGCTTGGCAAGGCCACAGGGAGCACAGAGTCAAAACAGAGCTTCAGAAGAAAAACTGATCAGCATGAACCAAGTTGCTTCCTGCAAAAGCTCACATGCCTTTGTTCCACCTTTATGTCCTATGGGAGGGGCCAATCTCCTCCAAACCTTACTCCCTTCTGTTTTAACTGTTCTTGCCTTCTGGCAGCTCTGTGCATGCACGCACTGGGAACAGGCTCCCCCTGTTCCTCTGCCTTGCTGGTATCCAACTCTGGAGGCTCCGGAGGCAGCAGATAACTCCCAGATGGCCCTGGCCCGCTGTCTGCCTCCGACGCAGAATCCTCATCCAAGCCTTTCCCAGACTCCAGGACTGGCCCATGTTGCTCCCCAACCTCCTCGCTGTCCGACTCTGCTGTGAGCTCCGCAGGCTGCCAGAGGACCCCAAAACTGGTGGCCCAAGGAACAAACTCTAGGCTGAGCCTAGTTGGAAAAAAATAGGCCTTTTTTAAAACACAGATAGACTTTGATTTATGGCCACAACCGAGCCCAACATTTCTGCTGCTAAACAAGTCAAGTGGTTAAGTGAATTTTTGCCTCGTTTTACAACTTTTCTTGGCAGGTTTTCTTTTTCTTTTACGAATCCCTGCAGTTAAGTGAATGACACAGTCGTTAAGTGAAACCTGGCTTCTCCATTGACTTTGCTTGTCAGAAGGTCGCTGTCAGCATTCCAAATATCATGCAGAATTAAATCAGAGTTCAAGACACCGCTATCCTTAAAACTCCAATTTAATAAGACAGACATGTTGGCACATCTGTGGAAAATCCCAAATCCAAAAGGTTCCTGGGATTCCACCCAGTTGAAAGTTCATGATCTTATCCCCACACCCATAAATCCACCACATGGTCCAATCTTCTTCGCCCACGTTGGCATCTCCACCCAGTTGGCTCCGGTCAGGTGCAGAGGTGCAGAGACAAAAGATG